CCGCCACACATTTGAAGATATTTACCCTAATAATATAATCTTCACTAGAGAGTCTGAGTTTTCTAAAACCACCTACAATAAAATCGATATTAGGCAAATTATGAGTCCTGTTACAGTTCACCTTTAAACAAAGCTTAGTATTAGTAAATTATGTTAGTGTAATCAATAATATATCAAATTTCTATTAATATATTTATTAATATATAATCTATTAAATTTATTTAATAATAAAAGAGAACTGCCGTTGTAATAAGAGTCACTATTTACAAATATTCCTCTCGTAAAATTACTATGATCAGCTCCTATCCATCTATTAATAATTGTAACATCTGTTGGTGGTCCAATTATCAGAGAAGTGCCCGTGTCGACAATAGCTTGACAGCTATTCCCGCATAAAGTCATATTTTCCATTTTAATCCTACAGTGGGATAGCATTAATATTTATCTGGCATATAATTTGTAGCTGACATGTGCAATTTAAAAAATAATAATGTACTTATCCAAAGTGAATTGCCAATATCCTTTTTGGGTAACATCAACATACGTAAAATCGCTTAAGTAAAATCTCTCATCGGAACCACCCAATATCAGTTCACCATCCCATTTGATTTTAGGATCTCTGTATAGATTATACATTGTTTAATGTGGAAAGACAAATGTTGAGTATGGGAAGACAAACTATTTAAGAGAAAAAATATTTTTAGACACGCGTAACGCATACAGAAAGATACGTGCCGTTCAATATAGAAACTAAAAACTGGATTCACTAGCTGTTGGTTAACCATGTTCGTAAAAAGTGGAATCACTCCATAGGTAGATAATGTTGGATAACTCAGTCCCAAGATTCCGTCATATTTCGCATATTCAAAAATCCTTCCATACTGCCTTGTTGCTTCTCCGAATGTTTGATTTTGAACATCAAGGCCTGCAATCTATAAAAAAATTTGATATGTGTTTCTTTAGAACACTTTTATAATTTACAATTGAGACTAAATAGAACTATTTGCTTGATGATGACTCACATTCACTACATCAGTTGCTAAGTATCCGCTAACAGCACCATGACCGTATCGAATTCCGAAATGTCTATCATCTGGTTTATATGTGCTGGATTTTTTGTAATTATATTTATTATGGGTCACTGTGTAAAATATAATACGTCAAAGTAAATCAGTTAATATATTGCAGATTTTAAAAATAAATTTTTCTGTATTAATTTAATATATATATATATGTATAATTAACAATAGTTTAAATCATTAAATATCTATATTTAATATGAATAGTATGAATATCTATATTTTTTACTTTAATACATTATTTATAAAATCATGTAAAAATTATTTATACCTTGAGAATATAATAAGCGTGACAAATATCTAAATTAAATCACATAGTATAATTGTGAAACGTAAGTTCCATAATATTTATACTCAATGATTTAACTTTTGAAGCATTAAAATTTTTTAATTTTATACTATTTAAAAAATTTTATTTGAAATGTGTGGATAGAAAGGACACAATTCTCCATTCTATTCTATATTTCTACCATTCTATGTCATCCATTAAAATAGATAAATGCAATAAAAATTATTTTTATATATGCAATAATATTATTAAAAATAAATATACATTTACAAATAATGGAATATTGAAGATATAATGATGTTATGATGTACTTACTGCAAGCACGGTTGCCGAAATCACAGTTTATGGATGGTATCCAGAGATCTGGGGAACCAGTATCCATAAGTACCTTAAACATCTGTGGTGGAGTTCCAATTGTAATATTACCATAGTATGCAATATCCCCATTACTAAACAGAGGTTGCCTTGCAATATCAGTACTCGGAGCTGCATCACGAGTCGATCGATCAAAATTTATTTCAATTGATCTTCGCAGGGAGTTTGTTTTGTACAAAAAAATTCTTGAAACAATATAAAGAAAATTTCTTATTATATTTTACATATACATATTAGCATATGTATATGTCATATATAGGCCAAGATACAAATATCGTATAAAAAGATATATACGAATTGATTAATCATCTGCAAATTATTTTTATTTTTGAAAATTATTAAAACCTCATCATATTAGTATTAAGAAATAAATGCTATCTGCATTTATCAATTTCGCATCAAATGATGATTAGTTACTTTAAATGCCAATTTCTGTTCTTATGTTATCTAAGACATGATAAAGAAAACATAAAAAATTACAAATCGAAGAAAACCTTAAGCATATCTATAGAAATAATAGATATGCTTAAGGTATTGCATATTCGAAGAATTTGAGCGCAATATTCCCCTCTTTGTAAAAATATGCTTAAGGTTTTCCTGTCCGCTTTACTCTGACGTACAAATTACATACAAGTATAATACATTTTAGAAATTTGTCCTAATTGTCGTTGAAATATTTATCGCAAATCAACGTTTATACATGCTTACCTTCGCAACGAAGTATTGAGTACGATGAGTGTCGCTATCATCATGAAATGTCGAAACATGTTTTCTAAATATCCTAATAATTAATGATACAAAAATCGAGATTTTAGAGATATTGTAATTCCGTTTCGAATTTATTCACAATCAAAACGCACAATAGAAAAAGGACAAGTCAATCAAATTAATGCTCCAAATGCTGTTTATATACAAGTTTATATGTATACCTGCTTGTGTTTATAAAAAGGTGAAAAGGATAAGCGTGTGATATGTTCTAAAAGCACTCTCCATAATTTATAATCCAATTTTTAATCATCTTTTAATCATCTTTTAAAAAATTTCTCACGCATATACATTCATATTACGCATATACTCATTAACATGATATGATGAATTTAAATAAATTCAACGATTATATATAATTGAAAAGGGACAAAATCAATTTTCAAAACAATATATTGTTGACTTTGATAAAATGGTTTGTATAAACATTAGTACTTTCACATTAAGATTGAATAGAGTCGTATATTATAGTGGACAAAAATTTCAAAAATTTTTCGAATTTTTGAAAATATTTTCATTGCTAATAAAAATATTTTTAAATATTGTAAAATATTTTAATTTCCAAGAATTCGGAACTTTAAATTGCAAAAATTTAAATTCTTAAAAATCGGCAAGCTCTAAATGCAATTAGGAACAAGGTAAAATAAATCATAATTTTAAGAATTTATTTTTTTTAACATTTATATTATGAGTAAGACTGTGATACATAAAACATTATCTTTAAATTTATTGAAATTATTCTTAAAAACTAATAAAATATAATTATAAATACATATAATATAGACAATAAATTATATGTATATGTCTTTAATTAAATATTAATGACGTATTCTTAAAACAAATAATATATGTATAAGTGCAATAGATATTTAAATTATACACAAGATATTTAATTAAATTTAGAATATTTATTTAAAATACGAATAAGTGGAAAAAGAAAGAAATAAGAAGGTACTATATGACAAGTATAGACGATTGAATGTTTGTCTTTTATATCATACTCTTCAGTCTCTAACTAAAAATGCTGTCGACATTTGCATCCTGATGTATTTATTGGAGCTGCTGTTTATCAGTAGTTTGCGCTGAAAAAACTTTTAATCATTTTAATTCTTAATATATTACATTTTTGGGTGTTGAACACAAATCCATTATTTATGTTTGTCTATTTTCGTATGTCACAATTTTGAAAAACATAACGTCAAAAAGGCGAAAAAATGACGATTTTAATAGTTTTCATAACGTTCATAGACAAGCATCGAGAGAACAAATTTTTTATATTTTTATATATTATTTTTTTATATATATTTTTATATATACAATTGATAGACTAGCGTCATACGTATAAAAAAATTATAGTATATAGTAGTCGTTGTTAAAATATAAATATCTACGTATGATCTGCGAATCTCAAAAGGGAACATGGATTCGAAAGGTTTCATATAATCTACCGATGTAGGTACATATCTTATATATCTTGTAAATGGGATAATGGAGGAATGAATAAGAGAGAGGTCGGCAGAAAAGAACTCTACCCTTAATTTGGTCAATATTTTATTTATTCCTTCATTTTAGTTTAAACAATTTGTTCATTCGGGGGAGTGGCCCCGTAAAATGAATATGATATAGTAAATATGTTCCTTTTTACAATTTATACCATATACACAATGATAATAATAATAATTAATAAGAATCTTAAACATAATATATAATAATCAAAATAATTAATAATAATTAGAATATAATAGTAATAATGCTAAATATAAGGCGCAAAACATAAACAAAAATATAGGGTACACGTTATAGTAAAACTGTCCCCATTAAACGACGGCATTTATGCTATGTATGTACGCATTTACAGACCGCTCATCAACTGCTTAATACGTCATTTCATGACAACATCCTCGTCACATCATTTTAATTTATTATTTTTAGTAAAGGCTTTTTCTCTCTCTCTCTCTCTCTCTCTCTCTCGTTCTCTCGCTCCCACTCTCTCAATCCGTTTAAGCTGAGATTACTATAAAATAGGTAAAAAAGCCCTGTTTCACAAAATATCTCGCAAATATATAGATATATATATGTATATGTATATATTGTCACGGGTCTTTCTCTTCCCACGTTTTATCTCCCCTGTCGCCGTTGTTTCACGTGATACGTTTTATTATTATTTTGTCTTCCTCTCTTCGCATATGGTGTAAGAGTCAAAGGCTGCGCTGATTCGTCAAGAAAATAAGCGTTTTTCGCAGTTTTCGCTCCGCGAAAAGAAAAATGAAATGCGTGCAAAGTGATGAAAAATATTAGCTGATCAGACGCATACGGAGCAAAATTAAGATGGAGTCAAGGAATAGTCCTCGACTCGCGTTACGATCGACCGAAAATAAACTGGTGAAATTTCTCCAAAGGAAATCGAAAGAAAAAGAAGAGTACGTCGGAACGACTCATCTCAACACGCGATCGTCCTTTCTTCTCTCTTTTTTTTTATGACAATTCGCACGGAATTTCTTTTTGGCAACGTGAATAATAAAAGGGGATGGAATAGTGTAACTATTAAAGTTCTGCGTTTATATTGATTACTTGGTGTACAAGGTGAGGCATCTGGAACGTTTACGAGATACATTCGTCGAAGGAGTATTACAAGTCACTTCGTGCGTTCGCTATGTGTAAATTTTGTACTTCCTTCCCTCCGCTATAATGTCGAAAATGTTGTTTGTGTATGTGTGTGTACCAACGACGAAATAAATAATTCGCAATTAACGAGGAAGTTGTATTGCTACGATGGGCAATGCGCACGGCCGAAAGCGTTAATCATTGTTCACGTTAAAATAGTTAAATAGATTCGCATGAAATGTGATAAATTTTTCATTATTCACATGATTAACGCAATATATTTTTTATTATATGATCCCAAATTTGGGCATAGTAAAGTTCGATCATAGTGGCGTCAAAATAAATCAAATTGGATTACGCTTTTCTAAATTTTAACGATCAATAATGAGTTTTTAACATTTACGTCCAATATAATTTTGTAGAAAAACGCGAATTTTTTCAGTCCCACGATATTAAATTTTTAGCATAAATCGTTATATTTTATTGTAAATCACCCATTACTTTCGCATGACACTTTAACGCTTTTTGCTGATCGATCTCTATTATATAAAAAGAACGACAGAAGAAAAATAGAAGAGAGATTCTTTCGGTTTGATGGTTCACATGCGAGTCTATCTCTTCAGTCGTTCTGTACTTGAGTTACTTTGCTCAACAAGAGTAAACATCGAAGCTTCTTTACAACAATTAAAAGATTTCTAATAATTTTTTCGGACAATCTGGGCGATGGTGACTCGGCCGGGCACATTTGTATGTGTGCATGTGTTTTCATGTGATTAACGTATCTTCCGAAAATTATGCATATGCGTGTCAGCCTCCGCGCCAATAAATACAATAATTAATTAACCATTAAAATAAATACGAAGCAAATAGGTAATTATATCTCATTAAGCGATATAATTTGGTCTTTCCTTGGTGCGGTTTGCTTATTCACGTATCCTCCGACTCCTCTCCCCCTCGTTTCAATTCTCTAATTAAATCTGCCTGCTTCTTCTCGCTCCCATCTACCCTTCCGGCTATCTTCCGCCTGTCTGTTTACTTGTCACTAAACGATTCGTTGAGTATGTCCAATAAACATATAATTAGTCATTGTGACGTGTTCGTATGTACATATATGTCTTGGCCAGAAATATTAGACACTTATATTTTTTATTTATCTACAATTCTTTTACCTGTATTGATATCTATTGATTACTGGTATTGTACAAAAATTTAAAGGCTTTTTGAAACAAAGAATAATTTACAGCACAAATGCCATAAATCAAATTTTGAGCTAAAATTTTAAATAATGATTAATAAAATACTTAATATTTTTTATTAAAACTTTTAGAGCTATAATTGTCATTCGAAAGAGTAAAATCTAACTCTTGAGTTTGAAAATTGAATCACTCTTTTTCAAGACTAACTCAATTTTCATTCTTTAGAGTGAAATTCTACTCCAAAGAATTTAGAGAGTATATATATATATATATATAATTATATGTATGTATATATCACGTGTATGTCGCATGGTTGTAATGTCAATTAGAAACGGCCGTCTGTCACGTAGATTGCTTAGTCGGCTCGATGAAATCTCGCGTTGCACGAAGGAAGGGTAGATTTCTCTAAAACCTGTTCTACAATAGGGTTGCAAGCTGTAAGCTATAAGAAATTAACCAATCATAATCGATTATTTTTGTCATATTTAACTGTGAGTGGCCAATTTCTTATGGCTTACGACTTGCGATCCTATTGTAAAACAGGCTTAAGCGATGTCGCAGATGTCGTAACGAATATAAAAAAATTGTAATAAAAAGGAATCGATTTTCGTTCGTTTCATTGGCAATTGGGCCGCATGCGACACGCATTGGAAGCCTATGGCAAGCGGATAGATGATATCTCGTAAAGGGGGATGGAGAGTGGAGGAGATCTCTTTTCGTTTCTACCCTCATTATCGTACGCGAAGTCCACGTAGTACACGTGTCGTGTCATGTCATCGTTATGAACGTATAGTCAACGCAATTAGTCGGATTACTTGTGCATTGCTCTCGGTACCAACAGCATACAATTGCTTCGCCAACTTTAGAATACACCGCCGTTAAATCGCCCTGTCCATTTGCTCGCCCGTCTGTTACATTATTCGAAATAGAATCGCACCTTTGAAGCCATTGTTCGCTCTCTATACACGAGCTTGATTTCAGACTGCTTTTTGGATAAGACTAAACATCTAAAATTTATCGCGATCGAATATGAGAGAATAGAAAATATGTAATTGTAATAATTGTTGTAAAAGAAAAGAAAAAATTTTTTTCCTATACAATATAAATAATACGTAATTACAATGTTATGTAATACAATTAAATATTAATAATTAAATTTTTAAATGAGCTAAACATACTAAATTCAATGATGAATTAAATTT